CACACACACACACGCACACACACAATCGTAATGTATAACCGTAATGCATTATTAAGACAATTATAATTTGCATTGGTTAAAATTAATTATAATTTTATAGTTATCCCCGAAATTCACTATAAATTATAGTTAAATTATGGTTATTCCAACTATATTTTTCTCTCGGTGTATGCTTGGATATAATTAAAGCCAAAATCCTTGTAAGTTGTCTTTTGTTTTTCATTTAACATTGAAAGATTCAAACATTGAAAATCATGCAGAAATTTGCAGTTGAAACAGTTTAATAATATATAATTATGTGTTGCAAATTGTCAATTCCTTCTTCGACATGACAAATTGCGGAAGTTCCTTACCTTGTCTCGACATAATTTCTACATAAAGTATGTATTTTATGCGGACAAATACTACGAAATTAAGCTTCGAAACGAGATTACTACTGAACATATTAGCCACGAATTACCTGTCGACAGCCGTAGTCTTTATAAAAGAGCAACGAAAGTTAGTCACGGTAGTTTTAACGGAAATATTTCGGAATAAATTTATTTCTGTTTTTGTGCGTGTAATCGAAAATATTGTGAAATGTGTGCGCGTTTATTAATCTGCACGATTATAGTTGCGTTGATCGCAGTAAACCAAGCAAATGCTGTAGGTTATACGCTCAATTAAATAACTTATTATATAAAAGAGACAAACCTATTTTTCAAATAACAAAGCTACATCTGAAATTCGTGCATATTTGAGATAAAATTTTATTTTCTTTTTAATAGTAAATAATTTACAAGCTATTTAGAAAAGATCTCATAGAAAATTCTTAAATTCTATATAAAAAAATGTACTGTGTATAATTAACAGCAAATTATAAAAAGATTTTAACAATAATTTTATGGATTTTATATATTTTTATTATAAATACAAGTCTTTTGTTACATATTTATTAATAATTTAAAATTTTATAAATAATTATTTTTATAAATAATTCAAATTTTTATAAATAATTTAAAAATATATTCAAAATACATTAAAATCAATGTTTAATACTACTATTGTTCTTAAAAAAATTATTTATTAAGAAATAATCAAATATCTTTCATATTTGCATAATTCCTTTTATATAATATATTACATATGTAGTATTCTATTATTAGAAATATGAAAAACATATACAAATCAAGTTTTATTGTAATTTAGGCAATGACAATGGAACAAATTGAAAAAACTGCGCAGACCATACGAAATACGTGTACGTCGAAAACTCACGCAGACCCCGGTAAGTTATACAAATATCCTAAAATTTACTTTAATGTTGACTATTTATGGTATTATAATTAATATCTTTAGACATTTTAGTATAAGAATTTTTGTCTTAAAATAATTCAAGAATCTATTTTTAAGCGTTGCTTTGATCTTTTCGGAACATGTTATATAATGATACATAGACATAATAACACAAATCTTCTGAATGACTTGTTAGTATGTCTCAAATAGCAAACATCACAAAGTCGAAATGACAAGCAATAATAATATCTATAATTGTATACAATAGCAATGTAAAAATTTATACAAATGTTGACAACAAATTAAATTATATTATAATTTGTACTATTTAATAAATTATTTATCACATATATTATACAAATATATTATCCCAATTAGTTAATAAATATAAAAAAATAAATAGAAAAACATTTAAGTAATAAACTTTCAATTATCATAGAAATAAAATCAAATAAGTACGTACGTACATGATACGGAAATATTTAGCAGTGCTTGTGTAATTATAATATAAATAATTTCTGTTTTAATTTTTGTTAACGTGAATCTAATGTCATTTATTATCACAGATTTTTCTTCAGCGATATGCTATTCTTTTTCGTATATACAAATAAAAATTATACTAAAAATATACTACATTAACGTCTTATATTGTCAATAAAATTTTTAATGGTACGGAAATATTTAACAGTGCTTGTGTAATTATAAATAATTTCTGTTTTAATTTTTGTTAACGTGAATCTAATGTTATTTACTATTACAGATTTTTCTTCAGCGATATGCTATTCTTTTTCGTATATACAAATAAAAATTATACTAAAAATATACTATATAAATAACGTCCTATTGTCAATAAAATTTTTATCGATCCGTATTATACATATATACATTTACTGCAAATTTAATTAGTGTGTGTACTGTAGTCACTTTTTACGCATTTATACGGGTACTATATTTTTGCACATTTCATCTATGTTTTACACAATTAAATGCATATTTTTTATACACTTACACATATTATTGTAAAATTAAGCGTGTAAAAATATACATTTAACTGTGTAAAACACAGATAAAATGTGTAAAAATATAGCATGCGTATAAATGCGTAAAAAATGACTATAGATTTACACACTTGGATTTGCAGTGTTGGTTTAAAAATCTTTTATTTTTGTTGAAAATTTTTAATTCTCGTAATAAGTACCTTTTGTAAAAGGTTTAACTATCAATATTGTTAACTAATTCTAATAGTACTAAACTAATTCTAATATCTAATAATAAATTATTCAAATAAATTATTCATAATGGCAATGTTGCACAATTGCGAACATCTTTTCTCAGAAATTTTGCTGAGATTTGTTTTTGGAATGTTTCAGAAATAATTATTTTATTCACAACTATAATATTATAATATAACTTATTTGTTAAGTTTTATTACAATATCAAAATATAATTTTCTTAATATTTTCTTTTTATAGGAGTTGTCGCAGGAATACAAAAAGGCGAATTCCCAGATGATAATCAACCGTTAAAATGTTATACACTGTGCATAATGAAAACAATGCGAACTGTAAGAAAAAAAATATAGATATTTAATTTAATAAATAAAATTTACGATTAAAAATAATTTAATATTTTTAAAAATTAATAATATCGGTAAGAGCTTCAAAATAAAAAAAAAGATGTATATTTACAACTACTATAAATCTTCAAAAATTTGTTATAATAATACGAGTTATTATATTTATTATTATATTTAATATAAGTTATGTGAACAATTATTTAATTACATCTTTTTTACAATTAAGTTCAAAAATGGACGCGTAGATGAAGGCATGATGACTAAACAATTGGATTTAATGATGCCAGCTGAAATGGCAGGTCCTTTGAAAGCGACAGCGACTAAGTGCGCAGCAGAACGTAAGTTTAATTTTGTAAAATTAAAATTCAAATGAATTTTAAATAAAGATAAAAAAATGTGCGAAAGTAAAACAGAAAAAAAGGAGAATGGGCGAGAGAGAGAGAGAGAAAGAGAAGAAAATTATAAAAATAAATTAATAAAATAAATTTATATACATCTTATTAATTAATGCAATCCCGACACGCCAAGTTTCTGGTTCATTATAATCCCATTAGTCATTTTAATCAATTTAAGTCCGTTTTATGAAACTTAAAATTATTTAGAAAGACAATGGCGTTAAACTTTTGCTGCATATACTTTTGGAAGGTATAAACGGTTTACTAAAAAAATATTTTTGTCTCTATGTCTAATGAAATACTTGGCAACTTGTATGATCTCATATTTGTTTTTGAACAATTCGTTTTTGGACAACTTTTATTTGTAAAAATAATATTGGTTTAGGAAATTTGATTTAGGAAAAATATAATGTACGATACTTTTTACATACTTGGCGTAAATTTTTCTTTCTTTAAAAAGAGTTTTTGTTAGGGATCTTATTACTTTTTGATATCGAATGTTATTTACTAAATGTTAAACAAGGATGAAATAATACATTATACGCATTATGTATTTTTCGGAACTCAGCCAATAACATAAGGATATAAAAAATGTTCCGTTTGATTTATTAGCATTAAGACGATGCAGGAAGGTCGAAAAAATTTGCACGAAATCAATAAAACAGTCTGTTCAATTTCAGTGATACCTCTAAATGAACTTCTTACAATATCTTCACTCTCATCCCAAGAAATAAGCAAGAAAAATTAAAATAACATTTAGAAACGTTAATTTCATGTGCATTTTTCAAACATTTTCAAAGAATATTGTGTAAATATTTTGAAAATGTTATATAATAACATAGAATTTATCGAACATTGTTAAAATGTTTTAGAAACATTATTGCAAACATTTTTTTGAAAATTATTGTAACATTTATTTTAGGTTAATATAATGTATCTACAATGTGTGAAAATTGTATATAATTGTTACCTTAAAATAATGTTAGAATTATATGAAGTTTCTGTCATTACGATGTTTTTAATGCAATGTATATGTATACAATAGTAAAAAATTAATGTTTGAAATTTTTATTTTAAAATAATGTTGGGTAAAGAATTTTCGCTCATTCTCAACTTTTAGTCTAAATTCGTAGATGCTTACTGAAAAAATAGTAACGGTTGTTGAAAAATACAATAATATTTTAAAACTAAGACTGTAAGCAATACTATTTAAAAAAAAACATAATTATTGAGAAGTTTCATTATTCAATCATGTGCGATTCCGTAACTATTACTGTTGGCCTTTTAGTATTTGTTTATGCGCCAGAATTCAAAGGTACGAAATTAAGAATGTAGAAGGTTATTGTAGAAGGCAATATTGGCAATGACAACAAACAGTTTATTACATTATCCTAGAATAGATAATGGAAAAAATAAGTCCTTTGTACAAATTAATCATTAGCTCAGCGTTAGCGTACAATTATGCGACTCTAGGGATCTCAGGTTCGAATCTCATCGATGCGTTCAAAAATTATATATCTGCGTAATTGTAATTAATAAAATAGAAAATATGCAAAATAGTAATCACAAATTAAACTCTACTAA